GAGAAAGACACAATACATCAGGTTAACTCTATAGGGAAGATATTAGCAAGGCTGATAAAGACAAAAGCAGAGAAAAACCTATTGCCAATATCAGGAATAAAAAATGGGATCTGATTATAAACATCCTACAGATATTTAAAAAGCTACAGAATATTATGAGTCACTTTATGTCAATAAATTTTGCAACTTAGGTGAAATGGATAAATTCTTCAGAAAACACAACTCACCACAAGAAAAAAAAAAAAAACCTCTAAGTAGCTGTATTATCAGTGAAATAGATTGAATTTTTAATTAAACATATTTCTCAAAAGAAATAGGCAGAGATGGTTTTATTGATGGGTGCTGCCAAACATTTAAAGAAGAAATGAAATGAATCCTACATAAATTCTGTCCGAAAATAAAGAAACCATGTCAAATTCCTTTCAAGCTCACCAAAACCAGAGACGCAAACTACAAGAAAAGATTTTACAGACTCACATCCCCAAGAATATATGTGAAGAGATCCAAAGTATTAACAAATTGGTTCCAGTTATATATTCCAAATGCAACACATTGTGACCAAGTGGATTTTATCCCATAATGAAAGATTGGTTTACGATCTAAATCAATCAACGTAGTACTCTAAATTAACTGAATAAGAAGTTATGATCCTAATGAAGGGAGAGAGTATGTGTCAAAATTTAAGTTATTCATGATTCAAAATAGAAATACCTCATTAAAGTACAAATTAAAAAGAAACTGCTCTAAACTGGTAAAGGCATCTATGAAAAATCATAATAATTGTATCTAGTAAAATAATGAGTACTTTACCAATAACATGAGACATAGACGAGGATGTCAATGCTTAGCATTCTGTTCACAATTTTAGTGGGTGCTTCTAGACTGTACAATGTCAAGAAAAATAAATTAAAGGTAAATAAGTAAGAAACAGTCTCCTTATGTCATGACCTGCACTCTTTAGTAGTATCTAACAATGCTTGTGTTCTCATTGTATAGTTCCTTTAGCAACTTTGTTAGATTAATTTGGGGTATTTGATTCTTTTGAAGCATTTATTGTTTGTTTATAAAAATACAACAGATTTTTATATGTTGATTTTGGAAACTGCCACTTTCCCTTTCATTTCTATACTGGATTCTCTCCTAATATTTTCCTGTATCTCATAATCAGTCACTTAACTCTTCCTGTTATCTTTTATATTGTTTTCTTTGAGAGAGAGAGAGAGAGAGAGAGAGAGAGAGAGAGAGAGAGAGAGAGAGAGAGAGAGAAGGAAGAAAGTTTTTCATATAATAGTTTTATAATGAAATCCCAAAGTTACTAATTTCCTCATGAGCAAATGCCCAGCCATCCAGGCTCCACTGGAAGTGAAACTTCTGAGGCTTGAAAGCTTACCACAAGTCTAAGGAACATTCTGGAAGGAAACCACAAGAAAGGGGTTAGGAAGTTCCCAAAGAACTGGGACATGTCAAGAGAATGGCTGTCATTGTCTCTTCCAAGGAGCAGGAACTCCTCTCACCCCTCTCCCATGTTTCCCTTCCAAGGGTTTATACATGTTTACACACACACACACACACACACACACTCGTTTCCACTGTCATCTTCTTTTCTCTTCTTCATGTGTGTTTCCTTTTTATATATCCACTTCACTCCTTCCTAGCTACCTCTTCCCATTCAGGAAGCATGATTCATGGCATACTAGGACTTTTAGTCCAAGGCAGCTGCATGTAAATGGGGGTGTGAGGAGTAGGGTGGGTGCTCATTAACTCTACTGCAGTGCTCCTCCTCCCTTTTTGGAGATGCATTCTCTAACAGTTCTATCCCTTCAATTCTCTATTACAGTGGTTTTCACCCTTTTGGTAGAGAGCCAATAAATGTGTTGGGTTTTACAGTCCATTTAAAGTGATTATATTGTAGCATAAAATTAGCCATGGGAAATATGTAGATGTATGGGCATAGCTTTGTTCCAATAAAATTTTACTTACAAACTCAGACAACAGGTCATATTTGACTCACTCACGGGCAATACTTTGTTGACCCCTTTTCTTGAATATCTGTTGTGCAGTTGTGGAATAGAAGATCCTTACTAATAATAATGAGGAGAGGTAATGCAAATTCTATTGTAGGTGAAGTGCAGTAGATGGTATCTTGTTTCAGAGTTGACAATCACAAGAATGAATTGGCAGTTATTTGATGGTGCTATTGTCTGTGACTCTTAAACTACTGATATTTTATCCCCTTCTATGGTACACCTTCCTGGACTTTCCTGTTTCATTTTTACTTCTAATTCCCAGATTTAGCAAAAGTAATGAACTTCTTTCATAGTGGTATTTTATTCTCTTTTTAAATCTATGCCTGTGATCTGTTTTATTAGTTAAGTTCTTCAGTTAAATTTTTGAAATTCATAAAAAAATTTCATTAAAAAAATTCAAGTCTTGGGCCTCCCTGGTGGCGCAGTGGGTTGAGCACAGTGCTGTGAAGCTGTCCACAGCCTTTACACCGTGGGTTCAATTCCAGGCCAGCCACGGAGATGCCCACATGGTGTGGCCGACCTCTCCTGTCGCGCCTGCTGCTCCCCTCAGCAGTGTATTTCCGTCAGTCTGCCTGTTCTGCTCCCCACTCTGTCTCTGGTGAATCCTTTCACTCTCCCGCACCTCTGACCTGTACCCCAGCTCTTGAATAAAAATAAATAAATCTTTAAAAAAATAAAAATTCAAATCTTGATAATTTTAATTTGGCCTCAGAATTGTTGTGCCTATACTAAATTTTAAAAAATTCATTCAGAAATTGTTATTTCTTTACACTTGACTGCATGCACCCTTTACACACAAAAAAGAATGACTTTAATGATGAGGATAGGGTCTTGGGGTAAAAAACAAAATGAAAAACCCAACCAAAAGTGTAATTATGCAAAATATTTGTAGTTATTACACAGTATTTTACTATCATACTTCCTTCCGTCTGTTCATCTGATAGACAAATTTATATATTGAGAACATGAGACCTAATAAAATAAAAAGTCTTCAAAATTGATTAAGAGCAAAAATACTTTTACCTCGCTACCTAAGACGTGCATGTTATTGTGGAAATTTCATTGTTAATTGCAGTCTCTTCCCATATTTTCCTACAACCCCCAGATAAGGCAGGAGGTGGGAAAGGGTAAGAAACAGAATGAGAAAAATAAACCATAAATTGTTATTTTACTTTTAAGATCATTAATGTACTATCACTTGTTTTCTTTGCTTATAATAGAAAAGGAGCTATAAATTCATGCAGACTTTTCAGAATCTTTTCTAATATGTTTAATTTTATAAAGGTTGCCTAGGATTATTGCATTATATAATCTCTGTGTGTTTATATATGTGTGTGTTTTTAGTTTAATATAGTTTTAATATTTATGACATAATGTTGCACTTAAATTTTGTTTATATTAGGCATTGATGTTTTTTTGTAGAAAATATTTTTAAACATAAACTTTACCAAAGGATATCCTATGGTAATTTGGTATGATTATTCACTGGATATGTAAAGAAAAAAAATCTTGTAGCTGTTTAGAAGGATGTTATTTTTCATTTTTTTTTTTTTTTTAATTTTCTAGAGGCATGTCTTATTTATTTATTTATTTATTGTTTGTTTGTTTGTTTGATACATGCACTGGGTACAGTCAGAAGCGTGGGAGGGTGAGAGAATTCACCAGAGCCAGAGCGGGGAGCAGAGCAGGCAGAAGGACCGAAGTACACTGCTGAGGGGAGCAGCGGGCGGCAGGAGAGGTCTGCACGCCATGTGGGACCCTCCTCTGGTGGCCGGGGAGCAGCCGGGGATCGAACCGGCTGCAGAGGCTGCGGGCAGCTTCGCAACCCAGCGCTCAACCGCTGCGCCACCGGGGAGGCCCTTATTTTTCATTTTTAAAAGTGTTTTTGCTTTGGTGTACTTTTCCCTGCAAAGATCAGATATATATATATGAGAAATACAACTGATAAATCATTAGGTCATGTTAAAGAATTTTATTAAGATAATAAATTAGAATATGGTGGGTAGTTTTTCTGACTTTTATATGAACCTAAGCACAGTTACATCAAAGAATTCCTTAATTCTTAGGATATAATTTCTAAAGTCTCCTCACTACAGTTTGAAGAGCAGCACTCATGTGTATTTTTAAAATAGACAAATTCTTGGTTTCCGGACCTGCCTTGCATACATGCTTGTTTTCTGTCTGAATAGAGAAAAGGATTTGAGCTATAACACACACAATTATAGAGAAAGAAAAAAATACCGAAATGATGCAGGGTTTTTCTTGAGTTGGGAATGTTCACACAAATACGAATTTTTATCACTTCCTGCATGTTAATGCTGTCCTTGTGATTGGTTGGGCCTCATTCCATTTCTGCCCAACTCTAAGGTCACTTTTAAACATTCTATTGTAATGGTGTTGGGTCACTGAAATTATGCAATGTAATAGAGGTTTTTTTTTTTTTAAACGGCACCTTCTCTATTACACATTAGCACCTTAAAAGCAAACACTGTATGTTTCATTAATATTTATATCTCAAGGTCACAATATCAAATAAGTGAATGGATGTGTACACAAATATAAGATATTCTGTATAAGACAGCCTCAGGATTGGCAAGTAGTAGTATATGTAGTTTTATAAGAGATATATTATGGGATGTACTTTAGTCAGAGAGGGGGAAAGGAAAAAAAAAGATTCACAGAATTTTAGTTACTAATGAATAGAATTTACATTATGCATTGGAGTATATCTGAGATCAAAGTAAACTTTTGCAAGAAGGGAAGAGTTAGCTAAAAGAAAATGTGTGTGAAGCTCACATATACTTTACAATTCTTGTACTTCTGGAAATATTAAGCTCTAAAAGACCAAGGGCAATCATAAGTTTTATACTCTGTAGAAAGAGATTTTGTAATGAAAGTTAGTAAGAGAGGACATTCTGTACCTTTAATATTAACATCTGTAAATGTTATTATTTTTCAATTTAAAATTTACAGGTATCTACAGATTGTTGCACATACAGATCCAGGATCCTTAAGCAATTACCACTTCGAGTCAAGGATTTACTTGATATTTTCTTTGGCCTTTATTTCATATCAAGTAACATTTTAAAAAGAATTAACACATTTGACATAAGGGAACAAAAAAAATACCACTAGTACTTTCCAATGCCTAAGAACAGCAAGGTGGTAAAAAGAGAATTAGATGATGAGGTTATTGAATCTGTCAAAGACCTTCTTTCCAATGAAGACTCAGCTGATGATGCTTTTAAGAAGAGTGAACTAATTGTTGATGTCCAAGAAGAGAAAGATCTAGATGCGGAAGAAGAATCTGAAGTCGAAGATGAAAGGCCAGCTTGGAATAGTAAACTACAATACATCCTGGCCCAAGTGGGGTTCTCTGTAGGTTTAGGGAATGTGTGGCGATTCCCGTACTTATGTCAGAAGAATGGGGGAGGTAAGTTTGATTTGTTTTGTTTTTAAATGATACATTACTGAGTAAATCACAACTGATTATGTCAGATAGCTCATGTTATTGCTATAGTCTTGTTATTTTAGTAGCAATGAATTTCATCGTCAAGCTAAGGAGACTCTTGGTGGATGTGTACTCACCTTTATTTCAAATTAGGTTTCCATAGCTGCAGATGTCTTTTTACTGACACTCAGTTACTCAAGGACTGGTTAAGGATAGTAGATTCTGGAATTCTTTCTGGGGATGCTATAAACAGCTCAAAATAACTGGCATTTCTAACAAATATTTCATCCCTTGTACCTGTCAGTTATTCTCTTTGGAGAAAAAAATAAAAGTGTGTGATATAAAACAATACTGGAAAAGAAAGAATTTTCTCTCTATGACTTATTAACTCTGAATTTTAAGTTGTCTCACTTCAAATAAGCAAAATGATTATAGAATGATTATAGAATGATTATAGCCTTCATATGCTGACCAGAACTTTTCTAGGAGAAGGGAGGTTACCAGATAATTAATATAATGCCAGACATTCTTCAGCCTCATACATATTTGGTTCCTAATTCTGTAGTGTTTGGAGATAGCATTCAGTTTAAAGAAATTAGCATCCTTAATTTTAATCAAAAATATCTGCATCATCACAATATTCTTGCTTTATAAATTTGTGCATATAACTGCCAAGAGTTATTTAGCAACAATTATTTAAAAAACTAAAAGAACAAAAAAGAGCTGAACAAAGGAATAAATCATTCATGAAAGGATGTAAGTGTACACGTGAACATATATATATACATGCATGGAATCTGTTAAAATAATTGTGACAAAAAAACAATCTACAATCTGCCTTTAGGCCATAAAGGATAGGAAGAATATTTTGGTATTGTGTGGCAGTTTGTGATAACTTTGCTAAGTGGACAAACATAATGGTGTTATTTTTTTGTGTGGTCATAACCAATGAAGTAACATAACTATTCATATGTGAAAGTTCTTCTTAGTCATTAAGAGATAAAAAGATAAGGTGTTGTGGTGACAAAATAGGTTTAAGATTTTGTTTAGTTAAGTCAACCAAGCATGAAACAAAAGCTTTAGAAAAAGTAGTGTTTGACAAATCTGCCTGAGCAGAATCAATGCATGAAGTCAGTGATGCACTATCCATAACTCCAGTAAAATTGTAGACTCCTTATGAATAACAATAAATGTGAATTACTTATCAAATAAGCTATACACTACCTTGCTTTTTGACTTTTTGGTTGAAAAGAAAACAACAGGCCCAAAATGGAGTCACTTATGTTAAGCCCATTAAGTCTTAATACCTAAACTGTGTGGTTTCAACCTCCCAATAGTTTCACCTTCCCTAGGAATGTAGTCTTAACTGATCAGTGGGGAAGTTTTTGGTCAGCACTAGTGAAGTAATTTTTTCCAATCCCAAAGAAAGATCAGGTAATCTTCCACGCAGCCTTTTCCATGCCACATTATTTTGTTACCTAAGGCTGAAATAATTCCCTCTTTTCTGATCTTGCCCTCTTTCAACCTATAAATTCTTTTCATTTTGTGCAACTTCTTGGAACTGTCTCCTACTTGCTAGATGGCATATTGCCTGTTTCATGAATCTTTTGATGAATCCTAAATTTACTTGGTTGGCTTTTTTTTTTTTTAATTTAACATCACAGATCTTCCATTTGCCAAGACTAGAGAAAGTGAATTCTGATTTTCAGATCTTTCCCCATAGAAGCTTACTGTTTATACTGTTATGGAAGAAGACTAACTTGGATATAAAAGTCAGGTTGCTTTCCATTTGGTATAATCTCTTTCTTGGTGGAGAACTTTCAAAGATTTCATATATAGTAATTAATTGCTAGCAAAAATAGCTCCTCATTTTCATTTGTAATGAAAGTCAAAATACCCAGTCAGGCTTTGTTTCCTCCCTTCCCATTATGAGTCCTGGAGAGTGGTATTGAGTTGATTATAAAATCTTACTTAGCTTTCTTATTTCAACATGTTTAAAAAGCACAAAGGACTGCACTCAACTTGCAGTAGAGCATCGAGCCTTCTGGGTATCTGAGTTAAATACCTAGCCAAATAGCTCAGGCTGTCTGCATCTTATTCATCACTCAAAGCATGTCATGAATACTAAAACTAAAAAGTAATAGACCCAATGTAAGTTGTTGGTCTAATGGTATTATGCTTAAAGCACAATGGTTAAGCTTAATAAGTGGTATAACATAGACATGACCAGTTAGGGTTTGAAGTTAATTGGACTCTTAAGCCTGGCTCATTCCCACACTAGACATGTAATCTTTCACAAATTAACTTATTTAGTCTGGCTTAGTTCCCATACCTGGAAAATGAGGGTAATGATGACACTTACCCCATTGGATTTTGGTAAGGAATAAAAGAGTAACTACATGTAACATATTTAGAAAGATGCCTGACAAGTAGTAAATGCTCAATTTTATTTTAGTTATGACTATTTTAATATGTATTATGTATTTTTGTTTTGTATATACTTTAGTATTTTTGGTACTCTAACTAGTGTTGGAGTAATGAAGTTAGAAAATAAGACTAAATTTCTAATAGCATACCATGAACACGTAACTGAGGAGAAACTCCCAACAAGTCTTGTCTTAATTCATTCTCTTTTTTCTAGTCATTCACAAACTTAATCCATTCATATGCTAGGATTTGATACAGGTATTAAAATACACTTTTACGCTTTTGGGAAACATTTTCAAGTGAGTAGTGTCTGAATATTATTAATCACATTAGAATTTTCATAATACTGTTATATAAGCTCATGATTACAAACACTTTTGTAGAATCAGCTCAAGCCTCAAAGACTGAAACTCAGATATAAGAAAATAGAGATTTTCTAAAGCCACTACATTAAAAGAAATTCTTGTACATTATCAATATTATAGATATATAAATGCTGAGATAAAAATATTATTAATATTTTCTTTTTCAGCAGAGTAACTTCCAGAACAATTTGAATAGCTTCCAAAACCTATCCAATAGCATTAAGTAGTTTTAACATGAAAAAATAAAATAAATGGTCTTTTGTTAAAAATGAAATTAGTGCCATCAATTACTTGACCTACTTGATTATCTGGCTAGACAAAACTCCAGAGAGTAAATTTGAATGTAGGAAGTCATTTTAGAGGTTATTTAATGATAATTTCCATATTTATTCTCAAAAATGAATTCACATTTTTACATTTTAACTTTTTAATGAATTAATAGTCTAATATTGTCATATTATTCAATATGTTTTAAAATCACTGGTCATGTCTTAATTTGAGAGTTAGCTATAAAATAGTGATTATTTTAAGTATGGAAAATTTACTATAAGGATAATAGCACAAATATATTTGAAATCGAGCTAAATATTTTAGTATCTCAGTAAATCCACCACCTTGTCTCAGAATTAAAAATTGTTTCCTAAAGTGTACTTTTTATGTGAATTATATATGGGAAAAATAATCTTTCTCTGTGGTAGTTATTTTTATTTCTCAGTTTCAGCTGCCATTTCTTCTTTATGTTATTTTATTTAGGAAAAGAAGTCAGTTTCAAAAGCCAGAACATCTCATTCATTCTAATTGATCATATTTGGAATGTACAAGATGAGATTTGATAAAATTTAATAAATGATTGTAGAATATGACTTCCAGGAGTTTGAAATCTACTTAACAGTTGGTTTTAAGGATAAGTTGTTTCTATGAAATATGAAGCTGTCTTATCCTTTCAATAAAATGAAACTGGATCTATTCATTAATAACTTTTACCTAATTGCTATTTTTTAAAATCAGAAACTCTTTGTAGCAATTAAATTTCAATTCTAGAAAGTTTAAAGTAATGTAACTGCAATTTCTTTAAAGGCTGCTATATGTATACTATATAGAAGTTATATTTCATGAAATAATAAGAATGAGCATATTCTCTACTGAAAATTTAAGATATTTTATCTTGTCTTTGTAGGTGCATATCTTTTGCCATATTTAATACTGCTTCTGGTGATAGGTATTCCCCTTTTTTTCCTGGAACTTTCGGTGGGTCAAAGAATTCGGCGAGGAAGCATTGGTGTGTGGAATTACATAAGCCCTAAACTGGGTGGGATTGGATTTGCAAGTTGTGTAGTAAGTTTCCTGGTATAGTACATGCTATAATTTTGACAGACTTTCTAATTATATAGTTTGCATTTATAATGAAAACTTTGGGTGTATATTTCTACTCAATTCTTTAATCATGTTTTAAAAAACACTACTGGATCTTGCACTAATAATTCAAACTAAATATTAATAAAGTTCAACCTTATTAATGAATATTCTTAAGTTCTAGAAGAGACAATAACTTTTTTTGAAAAGATAATGTGTTTCAAATAAAAATAAAATGAAGAGGATTTTTAAAATGTCAAGTGTGGTTTTACACATTTCATATATTTTGTTTCAAAAGCAAGGGCATGAAAGATTTAATGTAATTACATCCTTTTGTTTTGCAGGTGTGCTTTTTTGTGGCTCTCTACTACAATGTCATCATTGGATGGAGTTTGTTTTATTTTTCTCAGTCTTTTCAACAGCCTCTGCCTTGGGATCAGTGTCCTTTGGTGAAAAATGCTTCACACACTTGTAAGACATGTACAATGTAGTGTTCTGTGTTTGGAGATTATAAAGTTGATAAAGGCATGAGCTTGCAAAATTAAAAAGGATTTCTTTCAAATGCGGAAGAATATTTGGAAATTATTGTAACAAACATCCCTTTAGGCTTAGCATACTCAGAGAGTTAAGCTTTACATACCATTTAATTTTCTGGTTCTTCCCAAGTTATTTATTTGTGCACCATGACTTTAGGGCAAAATATTACAGACTTCAGTTGTCAATTGCACAATCTTGTACATTTTTTTGATACCTTACATTTTCACTAAAATCACAAAGTGGAAAATGAGAATTTATTTTTTTAAAGAGAATTTGGATTACAGTAGTTGCATTTATGTCTTCTGTTGCTTTGGTTTTCCTTTCACTTATTTTTATGCCCCAAAATATAAAAAACAATTCCTTAGAGTAGTAACATTCAGTAAATACAGAATGCAACTCACATATGTAGTGTAAACTTTTCTACTAGCCATAGGTTAAAAAAAAAAAGATGAATTTTTTTTCAATCCAATATATACGAAATATTACCATGTCGCCATATAACTCGTATAAAATTATTAACATAATTATTTGCATTATTTTTCTCATAGGTTGTCTCCAAAATCTGGTTTATATTTTATATGTATCACACATGTCACTTTAGACTAGCTCCACTTCAAAAGGCGCACTTGGCCAGCAGCTAGCATATTTGACAGCTCTGCCCTAGGAAGTCATTCAGATAGCTCTGGAGGAAGGAGGGGTAGAAGTCTGGTTTGCTTTAATTACATTGATGAAAAAGCTCCATATTCTTATTTCAAAAAGTATAATTAGAATATCAAAGATGTTGCATGTCTATTGGTTTTTCACATTTTTGCACAGTTGAGTTTTCATTATGAATTTAAATACTTCTGTGGAGTGGTAGTGCTTTTCTAGGAAGTGTTAAGAATTGATTTACAGGCTGTCGGGAAACAATAATAGTCTCATTATTCTCTATAGTCTGAAATAATTGTGTTATCTTTCTTTCTACAGTTGTAGAGCCAGAATGTGAAAAAAGTTCCGCCACCACCTATTACTGGTACAGAGAAGCACTGAATATTTCCAGCTCCATTTCTGAAAGTGGAGGCCTAAACTGGAAGATGACTGTCTGCTTGCTGGCTGCCTGGGTCGTGGTTTGCTTGGCTATGATCAAAGGCATTCAGTCTTCTGGAAAAGTTAGTATATTAGAGATCCTCTTGATTCTGTTCATCACCATTCCTGGGTACTTTGTTCCCCTCAAGTTCTGCTATAAATTTCTGTGGGCAAACTACAAGGAGCACTTCATTCTAGGTAGTTATTTAAATATTGATAAGAAATGGTACTTTTAAAGTGTGCTTAAACTAAGGAAAGGGCATTAATAAATAAAGTTTTACAGTGACATCTAAAATAAGTATAATCTTTTCCTTATTTGATCAAGGCCTTCTTCGAAATTTTTTAACACCCCAAAATCGTTTCTTCTGACAGCTGACCCTACAGTTTCAGTTGTCTGATTACCAATTATTTCCAGTCACAGAAACTGGGGAATATGCTAGAACAAGGACTATGTTTTATATTATTCATTTTTTCTCTACTGTAGTGTTCAAAAATATAGTTGCATAAAAGATTTTACGATAGTTTAATGTGGAGTGTTTCTTAAGGATTTGAACATCATTAAGTTAGATAATCCCAAAGAGGAACTCAGACCAAAGGGCATGCCTGCCAGGGCAAATAGAAAATTTTAAAATCCTGTGGTTGAAAAAGACATTAAATGAATTCTAAATATCTTGACTTTTTTTTTTAATGATGTACTAGGAAAATAGTTGCTATTCATGATTTTGCTTTTCATATTGCATTCCCCCCCCCATTATTACTGTTACTATTTTAAAGCTCTTTTCCATCTAGCTTGGCTCTAACAAGAATTTATTAGTGGTTCCTTTTCTTTGTAATCCTTAACCGCCTGTCTCTATTTTTTTTAATCTCCAAAGCATACATCCTTACAGACTAATTCACTATTGTTCACCATCATATATGAGTAGGAGTGAGAATAATAACAGCAGCAGTAGCAAGTGATGTGGTCAAAGGCATGGAAGTCAATTCCTCAAACTGAAGCCAAGAGATATCTAATTAGAAGAAATTTATTAGGAGTACATGTAAAGATAGGGATTTGCCTGATAAACAGAACCAAAAAAATCCCTCAAATAAACAATCATATAAGTATAATTATAGACAAACATGGTTTAAGGTTAGTGAATGAAAAAAACAATGTAGAAGATTTAGCAGCTAAAATATAATATGAGTCAATTTTAGTATCATTGTCCTTTGGGTCAGGTTGGACACTTCCGTTGGGCAACACCTGTGATATTAGGTTTTACTGAAGTTTTTATTTCCCCCTTTGTTATGGAGAAGAAGAATCACAGCCCTTTGATCACAGTGTTCAAATAATTCAATGAAAGGAAGAATACGATTTACTTCTAGTGGCCACAGATAATAGCACTGTGATCAAATATTGGGGATTATGGAGAGTGGCAAGGTGGTAGTAAATCCTCAAAGAAAGGAAGACTTCCAGGAATCATTACTAACAAGGAAATTGGAGCTCTGCATTGTTGCAGGTAGGAAAGCACAGGTTGCATGTCCCTTTGTTACAACCTCTATTGAGGGGATGCCTGCCCCAAGACAAAGGATAGAAAAGTTCTAAGCTTCCTCCTAATTCTAAGTCAGCATTTTTTCCAGAATCTTTGCCATTATTATTCCTACTGTGCTAAGTACTTTGTATACATTAACTTGTTTAATCTTTTTACTAGCCAGAAAATTTTATGTCTTTATTCCCATTTTACTGCAAAGTTAACAAGCTTAGGAAGAGTAAATAATTGGCCAGAACTAAACAATTGATAAGTGGTAAAGCAATTACTAGGTTATAGTAATTGCGAATTATTGTGTTGTCTTCTATGTCATTTGTTTATAGTGATTATTGGATTCTCTAAAGCTGCTCTGAGCCATCCCCTGCTGTGGCAGTTTCTCCTCATTCTTCCCACCCTGCACCTTCTCCTTGCTCCCAGATATACATCGTATACCTATTATGTGCCAGAACTATGTTAGGTGTTTGGGATATGGTGAGGAACTGGAAAGAAAAGACGTTTGCCCTCATAAAACTATATCCCTGTAGGGGAGACTGACAACTGACAAATAAACACAAAAATAAGATAATTTCAGCAGTGTTAAGTGCTATGTCTGGTTAGGACATTATGGGGGAAAAAACCCACAAATATTAAGAAACTATCATTGAGGGTTCATGAGACATGGGGAGGGCAAATGGAGGGACTGGATTGAAGAAAAGTGTAGCCTTATTTTGGGTGGTCTGATGGGAAGACTTGAGAAGATGAAGATGAGACTTCTATCATAAAGAAGAGCAAGAAAATCATCTCATAGAAGAGGAAGTTAAGGAGGGCACAGTACTGCTCAGGCCCCAAAGCTGGAAAGCTTGGTGTACTACAGCAAGAGTCTGTGGAACTAGAGCTCTGGGAAGGGGAAGGGGCTGAGGGGCAGAGGGTGAAGGCAGGAGGGCACTCCAGTGCAATGCTTTGCAGGTTAGAGGAAGGAATTCATTTTTTCTAGTTGTATTACATATCCTTGAAATGTGTCAAACAGGGAATGAGGTACTAGTTAGGAGAATATTCATATAATAGTCTAGTAGTCAGGACCATTTCTGGATACTTGACTTTAACAGCTGGAGAAATGGTGGGACCATTACCAAGATGGGTGGAGATACCTTTGGGGTAAATTCAGTAGTTCCTTTCTTTTTTTTTTGTGGGACCCTCGTCAGTGGCTGGGGATCGAACTGGCGCTGCAGAGGCTGCAGGCAGCCTTGCAACCCAGCGTTCAACCGCTGCGCCACCAGGGGAGGCCCAGTAGTTCCTTTCTGGACCTGAATTTTTTCCAAACATATTAGCTTTCTACATGGAGATGTTGGGGCAGTAAATCTCTGCTTAGGACATTTGCTTAATTTTAATTTAATGGTGAAACTGCTGAGACAGAAAGTAAAACCTTTGCGTGGTTAATTGTTGAGATCCCATAGGATACTTATCACAGAGACCACTGTTTACTCCAGAAACTTCACAGATTTATAATGGAATTTTGGTTAATGGAAAGAAAAGTCCTCCCTCCACCTTTTTAACTACCTTAAACAAAACTAGTAAGTTATTAAAGTGGTAGTGTCTTTCATTTCTTTTAAATGTTGCTTATTTTATGAACTATAAGGATTCAACACTGTTCAAGTTACACCAGACCTATGGATTATTTTATTAGAGATTAAATAAAGAAGAGTTCTTATTTTCTCATTTATATCCCAAATAGGATCCTAAAAGAGCACATTGAATCAAGACTAATGAGCCATTCTAATAAGATAGTTATACAAGTTATTAATAGTAGTCATATAATAAAAATGGTGACTGTCAAAGTACAGAACATAACACCATCTTAACTATAAAAAGGAATAGAGCTAGTGTGTGTGTCTCACCTACTTTTATTATTCTTTCTTTGCAGATCATGTATTTTAGTTCTCTGTTCCCATACCTGGTACTTATATGCTTCCTAATCAGAGCACTCCTTTTAAATGGTTCAATTGATGGCATCCGCCACATGTTTACCCCTAAGGTATGTATTGAATTTCTATTTAAGGTTTACGATCACGAAGGCATTATGTTTATTGTTGTAATGTTCCCACAGTTAGATTTAAGGCATAATTGTTCTAACATATGTGCACTAGACTTTCAAATTACAGTCGTTATGTTAGCCAATCTAACATAGAGAAGCCAAGGCTTTTTATACATATCTATAATTATATCCATCTAGCCCCCATTTTAAATGGCCCATTTTATTTCTAGACTATCAATTGTCTTGTATATTTTGAGAAATAGCTGTGCCAGCTTTCATTTGTAACACAGTGGGTGGCACTGGAGGAGAAGGATTCTGTGATTGTTGAAGTGATTTTTTATAAATGCAGAGAAGATAAAAAATTAAATACTTTTATAAAAAAACCATTACTATTTATGCTTCAAAATTCCTTTTTTACAAGAAATTAGCTTTCAATTTTATAGTGGGTAATTTAGAAACTTTTAGTCTTTACTTACTCTTTTCCCTCTGTCTCAGTGGTTCTTAACCTTTAAAAAAAAAAAAGCTGATAATAGGATCTTCCTACAAAAAAAAAAAAATAGGAGGGGGGACATATTAATTTGCTTAGTGTCACAATAGGTTGACAGATTACTTAAGTCCATGGATCCAGGATAAGAACCCTACTGTACTTTAAGTCCCCTCTTTGAGAAAATCAGTATTTTCTTGTTTTATATCATTTTGAGGGTTTCTACCTCTGAGAATCTGTACAGTTGTGAGTTTAGGAAGTTCTGTAACTTTTATAAAAGCAGATACACTTCAGGCACACTCTCCTCAGATTTCATGAAGTCTCAGAATGAATAATCCAACTTAGAGTTAGACTCAATGTTGGACACATTGGACTTAATCATCCCTTGTGTTGTACTGATTTGCCAGGAAACAAAAATAACTTTTGATGTGTATATATTTTTTGGTTTTTCTCCAAAATCAAGTTGTACTTTCCTATTTATAGTGTTATTCTTAACACTAGTCTAGGCATTGTGCTGTGAAACTGGCATTGGGCAGAAGATACTGGCTCCCCTGGAATTCCTTGTCACTCCTGGCAGCTGCCTTGCCACTGGGTATGAGAAGCTGTGCCCTTTGGTTTTTGCATTCATGCTCTAGTAGCAAACATGCTGACAGCACATCTGGTTTTCTTGAAGAGTTCAAGTCTTGTTGAACATTTAGAATTGTGCAAACTCCTCAGTGGAGATCTAGCTATAACTTACATATTTCAGCCACAATATAATTTAAATTAGCTTCAAATAAGCCATATTTAATGACCAAATGTTTTTATATTTGTAATATTCAAGAAAAGCTTTCTGAATTTAAAAGAATTAGCTTCATTGTGAATTTAAGTCATATCATATTTTTCTGAGCTGTCAACTAACTGCGTGTGACAAAATTCTAAATATTTGATTTGAATGTATGTTTTAGAATTTAAATCCTTTGACAGGATGGCTTTAAAAGAACCTGTATTTAAAACTGCATCATTAACATTTTAAACTAGGACTAGGAATCACTATTAAAATGCAGTTATTTATTCTAAAGCTTACTTTACATTGACTATTGATTAGATTGTTTATTAGGTCACTGTAGAGTATTGTAGTTAATAACCATAAGAAGCTGTCGGTTACTTTTCACTTCCATATTTTACGCAAGGGTCAAAATACCCAAACCCTAGAAATATTCCCAAAGCAAGGAATGCAGATTTAGTTCCCAAATTGGAAGTATTCTAAAATGTTTTGCTAAAATGTTTTCAGTAAATAGGCACTTTCTGCCATCTAGTGGTTAAAGTAGTGACAGACAGTTGAGTGTATTTTAGTAAATCATTAAATATAGAGCGGTAATATAGGTAGCAATGGCCAATATATAATATACCTACCTTAGTTTACATGATTAAATTATACATTTAATGATGATTATGTTTAATGAGAACATTGCATAAACTTTAATAATAACATAAAATTAATTGAACAATAAAATCCTAATGCTTGAGATAATATGGATTTTGGAATCTACTTGTGTCATCTATCACCTGCACCCCAGGACTACTGTATAAACTTAGGCAGGTCATTTAACCTTTCTAAGATTCAGATAATAATAGCAGATAGTAATAGCAACAATTTCCTCTATTGCTACGAAAATTAAGTGAAATAACCTATGGAACATGATTATCAGTGTTCCTACCACAAAAGTTGATACATGTTAGCAACTATTGAGCAAATTTACTGAGTGTGGTAGGCAGTGTGATAAGCAACACATGTCTTGGTACTCCATCTTTCAGTTGAGGAAGCTCAACTCAGCTAAGACAGGCCACTTACCCTAAGTTGCATGTTTTTAGATTACTGAATGGCAGAATCAGGATCTGAAACTGTGTGTGGAACTGTTCTTAATCATGTTCAACATTTCTTCCAATAAAGGCATGTTCATTGAAATAATAAAAAGAGATAAAATACAAATTTAAACCAGACTCAACTGTTTACTGGTATCTATCTCATTTATAGCTAGTAATTGTTCCATTTAAAAGGTTTGAATAGATACAGTGATACTTGTCTAAGAAGTAAAGCAGAGTTGCGTAAAGTAAATCATCAGTGTAGATTCAGAACTTTAGAACTTTGGATCTGAAAAGGTCTTTGAGGTTATACAGGTGATGTTTTTCAATTTTCAAAGAAAAGGCTTTCAGGAAACTGTTGAATGAATGAATTACACATACTCGAATATGCAAAGTACAAATGGCTCAATTCTGCCAAGTTTATAATTGTTACCTGCTTTGACTACCAGACTTCCAACACAAAACTTAGGGTATTAGTTAAGTATTCTTTCACTTTTATTGATAATTGATTTATTTTGTTTCAGAAAGAAAGATAGTTAATTTCTCATTCAAATAGTCCTTTGATGATTTGCCTTAAAAATGTTAGAAAATACCCATGTAAGTAGAAAATCTTCATCTAAGTAAAATCTCCATCTAAAGACTTGATAGTGTTTCTTAGTCCTATTTCTTATTTCATCCCTAAATGAGAACTTTGTTATTTCTGTTTAACAGATTATCTTTGAGGTTGAAATAAGCTTCGGGTAACAAAAATGCCATCATTTAATATATTTGAGCAATAGAACTAATTCCATGTAGATTATTCTGAACTATTATATTGCTGCTGACTTCTATTGTGTTTAATTTTAAACAGCTTGAAATAATGCTGGAGCCCAAGGTCTGGAGAGAAGCTGCTACTCAGGTGTTCTTTGCCTTAGGTCTGGGATTTGGTGGCGTCATTGCCTTTTCAAGCTACAACAAGAGAGACAACAACTGCCACTTTGATGCTGTCCTGGTGTCCTTCATCAATTTTTTTACTTCTGTCCTGGCAACCTTGGTGGTGTTTGCAGTTCTGGGCTTCAAAGCCAATGTCATAAATGAGAAATGCATTGCCGAGTATGGTTATTAATTTCCTTTAGCTTTTGATGGCATAATTATATACAAAGGATGTCCCATAGGATCATAAGTGTTCATTAATGTGTTGTTCTGTTTTTCAGAAATTCGGAAATGATCATGAAATTTTTGAAAATTGGCAACATCAGTCAGGATATTATTCCCCATCATATTAACTTTTCAGCTATTACTGCAGAAGATTATCATTTAGTTTATGACATTCTTCAAAAAGTGAAAGAAGAAGAGTTTCCTGCTCTTCATCTCAATTCCTGTCAAATTGAAGATGAGCTAAATAAAGTTAGTAGGATATTTTTAAGCAATAAAATCACTATCATTAGGTTGAAATATGCATAATCTAGAAGACCGCTTTTGGGAAAAAGACATTTAAAATGCCTGTGGAAGATTATGCTGTTTCAAAATTCACATTCTTTATTTCAGAGGAGCTACTTTCTTCAATCATAAAGGTTTGCTGTATTTTAAAAAGCAGTTTTATTAGGCCACAGTCATTTAAAATATGAATAGAATAAAGTTATTTTATCATAAAACATGATTACTCTTGATGCTTTTCTTAGCATAATATTTAATGCAAAATTTGAGTTATGACTATCAATTACATATTGCATTATTTTTTTGACACGTCTATTTGGTAATTTTTAATTTAATAATTGTGTTCATGATTAAGTCCTCCTTCTTAGCTATCGCCATGTATTTTAATAAACACAAAATAGGTGACCGTTAATAAATATATTTTTATTGGTTGTCACCTTCTCCCTGTATTGTCAAGAGGAAAATATAGTGGAGAAATTGGCCACTAATCACTTGCTTTTAAATAGCTAACTATAATTGAGGCTCAACACAAAGAATTATGTGAGGGAATTATGGATGAAACCATCATTAATAAAAAAGAATTCTATTAGAAAAAATTCAGCTAACTACTAACTTACTCTTAATTTTGTTTTCAATTCTTCTGTATCTGTTGTCTCTAGGGGATAACACAAACCACTTGAAGTCTATTTACACAGTTCCTTAGAAGACAACATGATCAGCAAGTTGATTTCCAGTAGCCCCTGGACATTAGTCATTGTTTCTCCTGCCCTTTATAACTGATGACCCCACTGCTCAGCATTGCTCAGTATTAATGTTGCCATTTTGTCTCTTTTACAGGCTGTTCAGGGGACAGGTTTAGCTTTTATTGCCTTTACAGAAGCAATGACTCATTTCCCTGCATCTCCCTTCTGGTCAGTGATGTTCTTCCTCATGCTGGTAAATCTGGGGCTGGGCAGCATGTTTGGAACCATTGAAGGGATCATCACGCCCATTGTGGACACTTTCAAAGTGAGGAAAGAAATTCTGACGGGTGAGTTTTTATGGGTTTGACTTAGCACTGAACCAATGCAGACCATTCTGCATTGTGCAAGAGTATGCTGGGAGATTAGAGATGGAAACAGGAAAGTGTGATGTGTTAGGTTTTCTTAATGTCCATGAATACAGCTCACTATCATTTATTTCATTTATGTATTTACTTGTATAACATAAAATGTTAGGTTTAGTTTAGATCAATTGTTTATTAATGACTATTAGTTTTAACATACTGTCATCATCATGAATTACTGGGACTAGAGTAAACTCATAGAATATTCATGTATAATTTTGCATACACAGCAAATAATAATAAATGAAGTAGGATAAATGGGTTCATATGCTCTACTCCTTATCCAAAAATTGCTTAGCTCAACTTGGCCAATGTTAAGTCCAATTTTCATATAAAATAGCAATTGTGGCCTACTAGTATTTAATATCTCCAGTTAGGAAAGCAAATCAAACAACTTATTGCCATTGGTGGTTGTTAACAAATCCAATCATCAAGTGGCTATTAAAGTACCTGGTTTGCACAGCATTATTCTTGCATTTGAGGTTATAAAGGATATAAGAGAAATTATAATAGGTATGAGAGACATAATAGTTTCTTCTCCAAAAATGATAGTACTGATAATTAAAATAAAATTCGATAGATAATTGTGTCAGGTAACATTCTGATAGCATAATGGAGACTTCATATAAGAATTTAGAGGAAGCAAAAGTCATCTAAAAGTATGATGAAATGGTCAGACAAAGAGATGGTAGTTGAACTGGCAAGGGGAAGGTTCTTATTAGGGGGATAGGATAGGTTTACTAAACATATATAAATACATATCAAAGGACTAGTAGCTAGTACTAGTAGCTAGACCAGAGTGCATTACTAGTGTTGGTAAGTGAGGCAAAAAATGGATTGGAAAAACATATGGAATAGGTGGCCTTGAATGTTTGGCAGTGGTATACAAGCACCCATGGTTCTGATTTAAACCCTGAAAGATTTAGAGTAATTTATGTATGAGTCACTCTAGTATATACACCTGTATCACTTAACTGCTCTGCTAAGTATAGTATATGTGGATGTGGGTATAAAACAACTATACAGTTTGTTAAATATAAAATATTTTCAACTCAGCTGGACAACGGCAGTCTTTGACCTTCTGAAACTGCTGAAGCCTTTGTTTCATTAAAGGTTATCAATATCCTGACTGACATGCAAGCTACAACCAGTCATCTTTGCTGCTTTCTTCCTCTTTGCCTCATTCCAAGCCATTCCCTCCTGTGATAAGAGAGCTTGCAAGATTAAGGGGAAAACAATAATTAAAGGGAAAAATACACAAGATAATATTTGCTGACTCTTACTGGAAGACTTATTTGATCAGAGCAAAGAGGAATGTATTGTCTTCCCCTATTACCTGTCTTGGAGATCATACCTATAATTCAGGTCATTTTTTTTACCCTGATGAAATGTTCTCATCAATTTGTTGTAAGATGTGTCTTTGTTTTCTCTGATGGTACAGTAAGACTTAGATAAGTGAATTGTTATTTCTTACTGTCTGTATCACCTAGCATATGCTTTCTTCATGTTTCACTTATACTGTGGTGTAATTAGGAGAAAGTGAATGTGACACAGGCTGTGGTTCAAATCCAAGCTCTGCTACTTCCAACCTGAGACTTTGAGTAAAATACAATGTGACAAACATTTAAATATTCCAATTGCTGTAGACTCCAGGGAAATGTTACTTTTTCTTTTCTACCTTGTAAGTTTACATATATTTTACCTATAATATTTGCTTATGTATGATAGAGCTCAAACCACCAGCACAGTGGATGTAATAGTAATATAACCCCTAGTTATTAAAATTGCTAGGGAGCCCTCATTTGGTTGAATCTAGGGATGCCTGTTTTCTCCTTTCCTAAACTGCCCTTCCCTCCTGTACTTCTTTTACTTTGCTATCCTCTACTAAATGGTGGCTGAGAAATAAATTTTTTTTTATTTTTATTTTTGAGGGCTTCTCCATTAATGTGTTTGAGAAAATAAAGTCTAAAATAAATACTGAAATATTATAAGGACTCCAAAATTCTAAGTTTTTAATGTCACTGGTGATTGATCAGAAGTTTCTGCATTTGCTTCTTATAATTAGGGAAATTCCTTTTAAGATACTCTTCTAAGTTGTTACTAGGATAACCAAATCACCCAACCACTGGATACCCAACTAATATGTTTGGGTAACATAAAGTTATGGACTTGGGTTGGTGCTAAAGCTAGGTCCAACTAGATTATTTTCAGGTGTGCTTTAAAAATGACCATATTACTAAAAATATAAAAATATACAAACACAATCTTATTACAAGTAACAGCCTCATTAAAGAAGTAAATATAATTTACAGCACCATAAAACATTATTAAAAGTAGAAATGACCTATGAACGTGTATTGCCTAAAAAAATCACTTTGCTGTTAATAAAGAGAAGCTGGTTATGGATATTTATAGTTTTAAAGTCTTCTCTTAGTTTTACCTCATTTTGATGTGTGCTTGTTAAATTTCCACAGACTCAGAGCGATGAGTTGAGCTACTGTCTATAAAGCATTCCTAACTTGAAATATGTTTTTCTCCACAGCATCAGAAAGTTATTACCTATTTATATCATTGGCAAATTTTAAGAATGGTACAAAATTTGTTTGATATAAATTGTTTCAAAGGCATGACATTGAATAAGGACTTTTTTTTTTCATTTATTCCTTTTATGCAGTTATCTGTTGTCTTTTGGCATTTTGTATTGGCCTGGTATTTGTACAACACTCTGGAAATTACTTTGTTACAATGTTTGATGATTATTCTGCCACCCTGCCTCTGCTGATTGTAGTCGTTTTGGAGAATATTGCGGTATCCTTTGTTTATGGCATAGATAAGTAAGTATATTTGCTTTTACGCCTTCATTTTCAACTCTATTTTGGAAAGATCAATTGTCAATATATATATCTATAATTTTTTTCATTCAAAAGAGGAGGGAAATGACTGGAGGGGAAAATTCTTTGCCACAAAGTTAAGTATTTTGCAGGCTCTTTTTCAGTCAACAATTTTAATTCCCCACTAGGTGATTAGATTTATTGGATATATGGTAATGAAGTCTAGGATTCTGGAGCTTTGATTTAATTCTTGTCATCCAACTTTAATTCTTTAATTTTATTTAATTCTGGTTATAGCAACTTTTAAGACTTGTGAGTATTAACTGTATTCCAAACAACTTCTTAAGTTGTTTTGAGTTATTTTTATCATCTACATTCAACAACTAATTTTTAGACTTTCTAAACCTGAGTTTAAAGAGATAGCAGTGACCTGCTCATCATACTCTTGGACAGTGAGTCCTGGGATTCGTAGCCATTTCTGTTTAAAGCCAATGGTCCTAATACTTTGCTAATCTGTTTTATGGAGGAAGATAAATGTCATAATGCCTTGTGTTATGGGACAATTTGGGGAAATGCTGTATTCACTCTGAGACACATATGCACTTGCTAAACATAGGCTTGTTGTATGTGGAGTTATTTTTTTTAATTCATAGTACATATAGACTTGGGAGTTCCATGCTCGCTTGATGTGAAAAAATATATACATGGTATTAACTGAGACATTCAAGTAACCTCTGAAGATCTTGTCCAGTATTTTTAAAAGTCATTGTCTCTAATTAACACATATGGACTAATTCAGTAAGATCATCAAACTTATCAGAGCTCTGTGTAAAGTAGGAATTAATATATTGAGTAAGAATCAGAGTCATCTTAAACAACATAAAGTATGCTATTCCTATTGAATGAGCTTGCGACAAAGCCTGGAAAATGTTTTTACTGATAGCTAAAGCTCCAAGAGTGGAAGAATGTTATATCTTAGAACACTATTTAACAGTAGCAGTAATAGCTGTCTGACATGCATAAATCTTAACCTCATAAAAATCTCTATAGTAGTATTATCACCCATGTCAAAGATAAAATTGGCCCTTAGAAAACCATTATATGTTAGCCCTGAGCCAACACTTCATTTAACTTCGACTTTTATTTCAAAGCCAAATTTCTCCCCAAGCTACCAAGCTATCCCCAAATCTGAACCTGAACCATATTGTTATTTGATGTTATTGGATTTATCTGTAAGTCATAAACAATTATAGTTTATGTTTCCATTTAGATAGTTTGTTGTTGCAATAGGTATATTAGATAATGTCTCTTTTTACTCACCACTTTTCATAAATAATAGCAATTATAACAATGGGATTAAATAAAATCACTAATAATAGATGCTTCTATCAAATGCCTATTGTATATTGGGTAGTATGCTTGGCATTCATCATTTATAAGCTTAATGGTAATCCTCCAAGGTCGGTTTTATAAAATTTTTGAAAATGCCAAAAATGAAGCTCAGTGAGACTAGGTTGTACATTAAACGATGACCGATCTATGATTTGAAACTAAGTCTTTTGGCCTCCAAGGAAGACCAAAAGCAAAAGCAAGTATAGAACTTTCATGTCTATGATGGCCTCATTTATTTACTTTCCCTGCCCTTACAATTCTGTAGCAGCTTTAGAGTCTTGCTGTTCACCTTCAACAACTTCCTTAGTCTATTTCTTCCCTGTGTCCTCTATCATTTTTTTTTTTTTTAGATTTATTTATTTATACAAGCACTGGGTACAGTTGGAAGCGCAGGAGGGTGAGAGGATTCACCAGAGCCAGAGCGGGGAACAGAACAGGCAGACTGAGGAATACACTGCTGAGGGGAGCAGCCGGCGTGGCAGGAGAGGTCTGCGCGCCATGTGGGACCCTCACCTGGTGGCCGGGGATTGAACCAGCACTGCAGAGGCTGCGGGCAGCTTCGCAGCCCAGCCCTCAACCGCTACGCCAATGGGGAGGCCCCCTCTATCATTTTTAATTTACATTTCCAGAGAAAAGTTTGAGATGAAGAAGGCACTCAAAACTTGAACAGCAATTCAAATGCAAAAAAAAAAAACAAAAACAAAACTGGAACATAGAAGTTTAGGAATTAGAAAGAAATATGAATGAAAGAGAGGAGCAGAATTCTGTAAAGCTAAATGTGATGAGACTCTCCAAGTCTTTTCAAAAGAGATAGAGAGATCACTGAGAAGTTATCCATATTATTATCTCTTGGGAATTTGTTCCTATATTTTGGCTATTATAAGCAATGCTGTTATTTATATGGAATAGCAATGGGAATTGGAATTATGGGAATGCAAGTGTCCCTTTAAATTAGTGTTTTGTGTTCTTTGATTAGATATTTAGGAATGGGATTGCTGGGTGGTAGGGGAGACCCATTTTTCAAATCTTTTGAGGATTCTCCATACTGTTTTTCATACGGGCTGAACCAGTCTACTTTCTACCAACAGTATTAAAATTTTCCTTTTCTCTATATCCTTGCCAGAATTTGTTGTTTCTGGTCTTTTTGATAAGGGCCATTCTCACAGCAGGGAGGTCATTTCTTATTGTGGTTTTGATTTGCATTTCCCTAATGATAAGTGATGGTGAACATTTTTCCATGTGCCTGTTAGTCATCTGTATGTACTCCTTGGAGAAGTGTCTATTTAGTTCTTCTACCAAATTTTTGATTGGGTTACTGTTTTTCTTTTGTTGAGTTGTATGAGCTTTTTTATAGATCTTTGATATGGGCCCATTGTCAGATGTATGGTGTGCAAATATTTTCTCCCATTTAGTAGGGTATTTTTTTGTTTGTTTGTTTTGTTTTAGTGATGATTTCTTTTGCTGTGCAGAAGCTCTTCAGTTTGATGTAGTCCAACTTATTTATATTCTCTTTTACCTTCCTTGCTGTTGGGGATGAACTCTTAAAGATACCACTAAAGCTTATGTCATGAAGTCTTTTAGAGCTATATTTTCTTCTGTGTATTTTATGGTTTGAGGTTTTACCTCCAAGTCTTTTAGCCATTTTGAATTGATGTTTGTATAGTCATTAGAGGCAACATGGATGAAGATGAGAGGGATTATGCTAAATGAAATAAGTCAGAAGGAGAAAGAAGAATGGTGTCACTTACAAGTAGTATAAAGAGAAATTAATCAAAGGAACAGATAAGGCCAAACTTACAAACTAACCCTGGAAAATTAATTATAGAACTAAGGAATCCAGAGAAGGGAGGGGGAAAAGAACAGGGTGAGAGCAAGTTTTGGAGGAAACAAAATGGAATAAAGAGTTGGGTCACAGGTGCTTTGGTAGTGGGTGCTTTATGGGTAATAATACTTCAAGGGTGGGGGTTTCCTGTACTCCCAAAATACAAACAATGATGTAAACCAGTATTACCTCATTACAATTTTTTTTTCACAAAGAGAGAGAAAATAACTACTGGAATATCAGAACCAAATGCCCACGAACACTGGCAAGAAGATATTACCTTGAACCCTCGAAATTGAGATGGCAGGAACAAACCACCCACAGTCACGCAACCTGTGTGGTATCATGTCTGTGTGAAGCAGGCAGAGCACATGCGGTTGGGCTGCTGACAGCTCCCTAACTCTCTAATCATCCCCAGATCCTTCCAGTAAAGAGCAACAGACCAATCTAAGTGACCTAAGACAGGAGAAATTTTGTATGATCCTTGCCTTCATTTAAAGCAATGTAGAGGGAAGAAGATACAGAAAGATCACCAGTGCTGGTCACACCTGATCTCTACAAATAATCAAAACTAACAAAGCAAATTTCCCTTCTAAGATAAAGCTCTAAACTGCAGAGAAAATGATGGGATCAAAATCTGATTTGAGCAAGTGAGAGACAGTATGAGCAATGGAAAAAGAAAGTCCAGATAAAGGAGAAGAGTAGAGAAGGCAAAACAGAAATTATAAGGTCAATCTTTGATTATTTTGCAAAAGAAAGAAAAGTGCCCATCATTCCCCCTGAAAATGAAAGAAAATTTATTTAAATGCAGTCAAATCTTAAGTTGCTTTGTTAAAACATAGGAGGAAAAAATGGAATAATATCCTTGCAGACAACAAAAACACACAAGCAAAATAAATGAAAAACTAACAATATTTCAAAGTGAATTTAAATAAATTTTCAAAAATAATAGAAGCCAAATAAGAACAAGTATTAATTATTTTAATAGAGAAAAGGGAAATTTCTTTTTTTTTTTTTTTTTTTTTTTTTGGTGGGACCCTTGCCTGGGGCCGGGGAACAAACAGGTGCTGCAGAGGCTGCGGGCACTCTCACGGGCCAGCACTCAACCGCTGTGCTACCAGGGGAGGCCCAGAAAAGGGAAATTTGAAAACTGAGCTATTGAACCCAGAAAATAATAGCAAATTAAGGAAAATGAAATGAATGAATAAACTTAAGAAATGAAGAACAAATTAAAAGGAACAAAAAAGTAGTGGGCACAATGGCTAATTTAATTTAAAAAAAATGGAAGAAAGGAGAAACTTTTTTTAAATCAAGAATAAATAATGAAGGACTTAAGAAAAGGAATAAAAAAGGAAGTTAAACAAAGGTATCATGTACAACAGGCTGGACCATGAAAGTAGTAGTCAGAACAAATTCTAAAATCCATAATTCTAGAAACTTACCTCAAGGAAATTAAAATTGAAAGGACACACAATATATTCAGAAAAAAGACTGGGACATAGGCCAAATATTACTTCAAGAGAGAGAGAGAAAAAAAAAGTGTGGGGGTGTGGGCATTGGGCATCGAGGAAAAACAATACAAAACAAAATTATAAGAGAAAAATATGATAGTATTATAAAATTTTTGAAACAGTATTAAAAGTTAGACAATTTACAGTATTCCAGGAGGAAAACAAGCTACAGATTTAAATCTAGCCAAACAGAAATTCAAATATAGGAACTATAAACAAACAAACTTGAAATTTAGGGGATATGTTTATTCTGATCCCTCTTTGAAGAATCAACTAGAGACCTAGCTTTAGACAAGCAGAAAAATCACAAAGACCAGTACAAGAATGGGTGGGCAGTAAATATCTCTAAACATTAAGGGAGCTAGACTAGTATGTAATGGGTATGTGCACTGACTGTTAACATCGGAGTGCTGAAAAGCTTGGATTTTCTCATGAAAATAATACCTGAATAAATGAACATAAAACAAGTAGAAGTCTGATTATTAGTAGGTCTCCATACCAAGTGACAGAAAACAAAAGGATCAAACTACCTGTGAAGGGACACTGTGAGGAAGCAACCAGTCAAGCCCAGATAATGGGAAACTATGAAACAGGAGCTCCTAACCTTTGCAACAGAAAATCAGAAGTGGCAAAAAAAGAGATGTAGTCAGAACCCATAGATGAAAAATGGACTTGAGGGACATCAGTTGCAGTGTTTGTATCTACTTTTGATTCAGACTGTAAAAAGAAGTGAATTTTCAAAGATGGAAATGTCATTGGGGATTGGATGAAATTAATTAAGTATTGAAAGTATTATATTCATAGAGTAGAAAGACATCAGTAGGAGGAAACATTTCAGTAATTGTCTTAAGAGGGCTGTTGACTAAATGAAAATTACTGTACTTGGTCCTATTCTAGAAACATTTATAAATCATTGTCCCATATGATTTTTATTCAGTATAAAATGTCATAGTGTATCATGACTAAACCCCTGTCAAATGGGTATCTAATGTACATTTTTAAGGTATAATATTATCTAGAGGAATAATTTAACCTTTTCTTTTTATTTAGGTTTATGGAAGACCTAAAAGATATGTTGGGCTTTGCTCCCAACAAGTATTACTACTATATGTGGAAATATATTTCTCCTCTAATACTCTTATCACTGCTAATAGCTAGTATTGTGAATATGGGATTAAGTCCTCCCGGCTATAATGCATGGATTGAAGATAAGGTAAATATAAATTAAGGAAGTTAGATAAATATATACATAAAATGACATTTTAGAGGTTTATTTCTTTTGCTTTCTTCACAGTATATTTTGCAGTTTAATGATGGATGTTGTTTTTCTGTGAGGATTTTGAAATTTATATTTTATATGTACCCATATATATAGTGTGTGTGTGTGTAAATTTTTTAATGCATGATAAGAATGAATTTTATTATTAAAGTAACTTTATTCATGTCATGGTAATTTTATTCATGACTTTAAGGTAATTTTATTCATGTTATTATAGATAAATCAATAGTTATTGAGTCTGAAAATATATCAAACCTGAATAAATCAAAATTTAGGACTCCTATGTAAATATTATTAAATTCTATTCCAAGAATTATGTAATAATGAAAATATGATTAGCCACATAGACATAATTTAAAATAAGTAAATATTGAAGTAAAGTTTTGTTGTAACTTTTATATTAGCAGTGACTAATTTGTTCTCAAATTGTCACATAATGCTATATGTTAGCTGTGATAAAATTAGTGTTTATTTTTCAGAGGTATTACTGACCTTTAATCTGTGGCTAATAATACTAAATAATAACAACTAAAGTCAATACTGGAAACACTAGGACATAAACAAGCATGTTATCCCTTCCCAAAACTCTTGGGGCCAGATGTTCAACATTTTCAGATTTTAGAAAGATAATGTGGCATATGTAACAGTTATCTATTGCTTCATAACAAACTAGCCTGAAACTTAAGGACCTAAAGCAATGCTGATTTATTATTTCTTAGGGTTCAGTGGATCAACTGTGCAATTCTTCTTGTGGTCTGGCCTGAGCTAATTTATGCCTCATGCAATTGATTGAATTTGGGGAGCTAATCTCTCTCTCTCTCTCTCTGACTTTTTATTCTTATCTTCTTCCAAGAATTATGGAATCAATGTAGTAAGCTAATGAAACAGACATTACAAGGTTTTGAAGGACGAGCCTTCGACATTGCTTAATGTCATTCTACAACAATCTATTTGTCACAGCCAGTTACAGGAACAGCTTAGATTTTTTGCTTATAAACCCAAGACAAATATTACTTATTTTCATGTGCTTGCAGAGTAAGATAGATGGCTTAAAGTATTTTGGTGGTTTTCTTTTTTAAAACAGGCATCTGAAGAATTTCTGAGCTATCCAACATGGGGAATGGTGGTCTGTATCTCTCTGATAGTCCTAGCAGTGCTACCAGTTCCAGTAGTCTTTATCATCCGACGCTGCAACCTCATAGATGATAGTTCTGGTAACCTAGCATCTGTGACTTACAAGAGAGGAAGGGTCCTAAAAGAACCTGTGAACTTAGAGGGAGATGATGCCAGCCTCATTCATGGGAAGATATCAAGCGAGATGTCATCTCCAAATTTTGGTAAAAATATTTACCGAAAACAGAGTGGATCACCGAGTCTGGATACTGCTCCCAATGGACGGTATGGGATAGGGTACCTGATGGCAGATATGCCCGATATGCCAGAATCTGACTTGTAGCTGGGAGAAAAAATCAGTGGGTTTATTTGGCTCATTTTTATCAATGAACATTGGCTCTACTAAGAGAAGCATTAGGCTTCACTTATCAGAGGATGATCTCAGGTGTGCCATGGCTGTGATCTCTAATCCTAACAGTATATGTAAATTCAACTAGAGCATTCCTTTGGATTCTTTGGTTTACATTTGCACAGAAGGAGTTTCGGACAAAGCTTACAATAACTGAGGTCCATTTTTGTCTAAATTTTTAAAACTACTTTTGGTGTTTTTTCAAGTATTTCTATCTCTAAAGAAAAAAAAAGGTATTACCTCAGTTTCTAATAATTTCCGGATATAGTATTGGCATTACAAAAATGGTATACTATTTATAAGTTTGCCTTCAGGGTAATAGTGAACAATTCTGTCAGCTGGTGCTTCTCAGCACATTTCCATAAATGCATTGTGTAGATAAACTGTACTTATTTTGGTAGCATTGATACCTTCTTAGGCAACTAGTTGAAGAAAACTGCAAAATATTTTCTTATGTAATAGCTGTATAGAGCAATAGTATCAAAGAATAAGGAGGCACTAACGCTGGGATGAAAGGTGACTGGGGATCATGTGTGTGATGGCTGTTTATTTTGTGTAAAATATATGTATGAAAATGATCTAAGAATGAGTCACTCAGCACTCTCAAGAATTATGCAGATTCTGCATTTTTCTATGCCGTGTGCCTAAAACTTACTTGATATTTATTGTGGTTTCAAGATTACTCATAGTATATTTATATAATATACTTGCAATGTATATAGATGTATATTAGTACTCTAAGTACTCATTCGAAAACTTGAAGCAAGATGGCATTTTATTTCATATCTTTCTGTTTTGCTTCTGTTTTATGCAAATATAAATCCTTTTTTAAGTGATTGTTAAAATTGTATGGCATTACATTTTAAGCAACAAATAAACAAAGGTTAAAAATAATGTTTGTTTTTCATATTGTTTTTTCTTATATCACCTAAAGTGGATTATCTTTGCATTTTGGTTTGCATTTAGGCATTTCATAATGATTAATCATCACATTCCAAACAGGATTAATAGACTGATAACAGTCACCACCATCACAATAAAAACAAAGGAATAAACAGAGTATTATGGTAAAATGGTGCTGTAATGTAATCTTAAGATTCTTGAGAAAACAGTCTCCCAGGAAATTATGTATATAGTAGATTGCTTATTGGATGCATATTTTCTTTGAAGTATAAAAAGTTATTTTTTATGAAACTGTTACATATATGATTGGATAAAACAGGAAAACTCCATTGTGTGCCATCTGGTAAAAAAGACTTTTTATTTTTCACTGTTCTACTACTATGACAGTCATATTTTAAAAATGATGATGGATGCACTAGAAAAAAAGGGAAGGTACTGGGCCTCCTCTGGTGGCAGAGCCGTTGAGCGCTGGGCTGCGAGGCTGCCTGCAGCCTCTGCAGGGCTGGGGTTCGTTCCCTGGCTGCTGGGCGAGGGTCCCACAAAAAAAGAAGGGGGGGGGTACTACATACACCATATCCATTGATTTATTTTGGCCAAATATTCTTGACCTTTGATAGACCTATGGTAGCCAACTGTATCAAAGCATTTAAAATATAATTCTGCTGTCTGAAATGTTTGTTTTTTAACATATTAAAATATAGTCTGTATATATTTATTTATATATAACTTACATCATTTTTCATTTTTTTTAACAATGTTTGTTTTCTTTTCTCAGGTGTAGTCCCCATAGAATAACCACCATGAGTTCAACCATGCACCATCACCATAGTCCCTTAAGCTCTTCCCTCCCTCATTTTGATCCCTCGTCCTCCTCTTCCCCACAGAATGTCTCTGATTTATAGTAGTCTTCTTATTTTTCTTTTGTTTTATGTTTTTTATTGTTATTTTTTCCCTAATGCCTTATTTGGTTCCCCTATATTCTCCTATAAGTGAAACCATCCGATATTTTTCTTTTTCCTTCTGACTTATTTCACTGAGCATAATCCCTTCCAGCTCCATCCCTGTTGCTGTGAAGGGCATGATTTTAACTTTTTAGATTGATGTATAGTATTCCATTGTGTGTATATACCATATCTTCTTGATCCTGTCATCTATTTTTGGGCTTTTGGGTTATTTCCAAATCTTACATAATATAAATAGTGCTGCAATAAACCTGGGGCACAGGTATTCTTTTGAATTAGTGTTTTTATTTTATGTATTTTATTTAAAATGTTTTTATATTATTTATATATATTTTTAAATTTAAAAACATTTTAAATAAATAACTCAAATATCATAACAAGTATAAAGTAAATTTCCATTCCCACATTTCCCCTAGCTACCCATTATGCCTCCTTGAAGGTGTCTACCATTACCAGATTTTATTTTTCTCCATACATTACATAGTCGTATTCTGTATTCTCTCTTCTGAGAGTTACTTATTTAATTTATTGTTGACATTGTTTCATATGAAGGCACATATATGACTTATTATTCCTGAAATTGAAGTAATATAAATTTTATTTTTGTGTTGAAGCATTATTTTCTTTATTAAACTACCCCAACATTAAAGTTGGTAGTGAATATTTACTCTGCCTGATAGCCTTTAGCTTATCATAATAACACATTGCACAAGAGCATCAGCCTTTCGTGCTCTCTCTTTTGCCAGGAGGCCTCTTAATCTATTATTTTCCACACCTGTCTTCCACTACAGAATAGGTCTCCACTCTTGTATTCAGAGTATTATGAAGAACACAGGAATCATATTATTTTTGAGATGGAAGAGAAACAAATTTGCTTCTAATTCTCTCATTTTAGCAGATGAGGAAATTGAGACATAGAAGGTAAACTGAAACAAAGTCTCTCTCTTTCTTTGATTCAGTAATGTATTGAATCATTTATTCATCCTTTCAGCATCTATTCACCAAGAATCTACCTTATTCTTAGTACTAAGCCCAGGTGCCATCAGAATGAGAATATATATCATTCACCATTTTACCATCATCTCCTCCTCACCAGAGAAACTCCTTCCTTGCCCTTTCCTAGGCAATATATTATTTAATCAGTAAATAGTAGTATGGTGTATCCTAGTCTGTACTCTGAAATTTTATATTATTTGCTTTTTATTACTTCCCTCTGCCTATATAAGTTCTGGCATAAATTTTATAGAAAGGAGGTCAGGGAGTGTGACAGAAAGTCTGATAGAGTGTTCAGACTGGAATAGAGGAGGAAGAAAATATCCTTCAACATTAGGAGTTAGAATCATAAGTAGGGTGTCTAATACATGGTGCAACTAAGTCTAGGATGTAATTTTATGAATGTATGTTTACATTTCCATGTGCTTACATTTTCATGCATTTTTAAGGCAGAAGTTGCTTTTTCATTGAAACTCCAACTGGGTATGTCATCTTAGAATGTTTAACATCAGGACATACACAGTACTTCATAACTACAGTTTTGCTTTTGAGTTGCCCACACCCTTTTTTAAAAATTTTTATTTTTTACCATCATTGTTCATTTTTAAACAATATTTGCTTCCCCCAGGTGTAGTCCCCATAGAGTTTCCTTCCCCAAGGCACCCGTGCACCATCACCTCAGTCCCCTGTGCTCCTCCCTCCCTCCCTCTGATCCCTCTCCCTCCTCCTTCCCTGCAGGATGGCTCTGGTTCATAATAGTCCATTTTTGCTTTGTTGTGTTTTTGTACTGTTATTATTTATTACACTGATGTCTTATTTGGTTCCCCTATATTCCTGCTATAAGTGAAACCATCGCTATTTTTCTTTTTCCTTCTGGCTTATTTCACTGAGGATAATTCATTCTAGCTCCATTCATGTTGCTGCGAATGGCATGAGTTTATCTTTTTTTATTGCTGAATAATATTCTATTGTGTGTATATACCACATTTTCCTGATCCAGTCATCTATTTTTTGGTCGTTTCCAGGTTTTACCTATTATAAATAGTGCTGCAATAAATATAGGGGTACAGGTGTTCTTTTGAATCAATGTGTTTGTGTCCTTTGGGTAGATCCCTAGGAGTGGAATTGCCAGGTGATATGGTTGCTCCATTTTTAGTAGACTGAGGAACTTTTAGATAGCTTTCCATAATGATTGGACCAGTTTGCAGTGCCACCAGCAATGTAAGAGAGTTCCTTTTTCACCACATCCTCGCCAACATTTGTTGTTGCTTGTTTTTTTTGATATGTGCCATTCTTACTTGTGTAAGGTGGTATCTCAATGTGGTTTTGATTTGCATTTCCCTGATGACAAGGGATATTGAACATTTTTTCATATGCCTGTTGGCCATTTGCATTTCCTCTTTGGAGAAATGTCTTTTAAGTTCTTCTGCCCATTTCTTGACTGGATTGTTTACTTTGTTTTTGTTGAGTCCTGTGAGTTCTTTGTATATCTTTGTGATCAATTCCTTATCAGTTGAATGGAGTGCAAAGATATTTTCCCAATCAGTGGGGTGTCTCTCTGTTTTGGTTAATGTCTCTTTTGCTGTACAGAAGCCTTTCAGTTTGATGTAATCCCAGGTGTTTATCTTCTCCTTGACTATCTTTGCTTTGGGTGATGAGTCTTTACAGATCTTATTGCAATGCATGTCTTGTAGTATTTTACCTATATTTTCTTCTATGCATTTTATGGTTTCAGGTCTTATGTCCAGTTCTTTTATCCATTTTGAGTTGATTTTTGTGCACAGTGAGAGGAAGTGGTCTGGTTTCATTTTTTTTTTTTTTTGCATGTGGTGGTCCAGTTTTCCCAAAACCAATTATTGAACAAACTGTGTTCCATTGCATGTTCTTTGTTCCTTTATCAAAGATAAGTTGTCCATATAAGTGTGCCCATACCCTTTTTAAAGAGGTATTTCCAATGTACTGAACATGAATCCTTTTGGGATTGGATGCAGGACATGAGTATTTTAAAAAATTTATTCTAAAGTTCTATCTTGGTTATAAACCATGGGTATGAAGATGAAAAGAAGGACAAATAAAATATGAATCCTTATTATTTTCAACCAAACAGAATGAAAAAGAAAGTGCTATAACCATGAGAAAAATAATTTGGGTGGATGGAAGTTGGAATTCATAATAAAATTATTTTGAAAAATAAAATGTCTTTTTCCTTTTCAGCTTATTTTGTGACCACTCTTTCCTGAATATTCCCCAAAGAGATCCATATCTATGTTGATTGACTATGAATAAGATCAGTACCAACTATAGCAATTACATGGATTTTTCCATAAATTCTAGTTATAAATTTTTTGAGCCATAAAGATTTGACCAAAAGGGAAAAACCATAAAATTCTAGAAAACTATTGAAAATATTAAAGATACACTTTCCATAAGCTATCCATTACTGAGGATAGCATATTTTTTACCTTTATAACTTAGCACTGAAGTAAAATGTTCCATATGTTATTTTGCCTCAAATGGCTGACTACAAAATTGGCTGATCTTCTAGTTATTCTGATATGCATTCCCATCTAAAACATTGCCTTACGAATGCCTATCATGTGGAGGTAAAAAGAGAAAGGGGACTGAGTTATTATCTTCTCTTAAATTCTTAAATTCAATACCCTTTGGATTCTATTTCACACCACAGTTACTCTTAACATTGCCATCAGCATGCACGCATGCACGCACGCACACACACACACATACACAGACACACACACACACACATACACATCCACCACCACCAAAAGCAAAAACAAAAACATGGGATTTATATGAACAGCAAGAAACATGCCATGTGGTGCCTGTGTAATACCATATGTGGTGTCATGTAAATAAAAGAAATCTTGTCCTGTGGATCAATGGTGATACCCCAACTGCCATTCTTTTTTTATCAATTGCTTTTTTAAGGTATATGCAATTGCATAGAAAAGATGATAAAGGTTCCTTATAAGAGATTGACATTTATATTTCTGAGAATATGCTTTCTCAGGAA